TTAATTTGAAATTATTATAATTATTAAATGCACACTAAAGCCGATATAATACCTTAAATGTGATCCAATAAATTGGACACAACTATTGATTTATTTTACAGTATATAAAATGTCAGTAAACATAATAAAGTCGTTTACTTTACCGTTTTAAATTAATTTGTAATTTTATAAAATGCAATAAAATTAAAAATATTTGAATTAAAATCGGATTCTCATAAGTTTTATCAAATTGTATAGTAATTATGTAACAACTCTTGCCGTCGATGTCTTTATGAAATGAATTAAATTGAATTAAAATCAAATGATTTTATACTTTGTTTAATATTTTAATTATGTCTCCAAAAAAATTTACGATTTAAACCGTAGAGGAGAAACATCTAGTTTTTAATCACAAAAAACTTATATAATAAGTAAAGTAACTTATATTATATCAATATTCCCAAACATTTATAACGGATTTCATGGAAAAGTTGTATTTCCAAGAGATATAAGCTAATGATTACTCCATTTATATAAACCTGTGTATAAAAAATGCTCCGATTTTATGTAATTTAAAAGTTAAATAATTTTGAGGGAATCTCTTTAAATCATCGCAAATATTATCTAAAAGTTTTTATACCGTATTTAAGTGTCATATTTGAGGGAACTGTAGGCGAAAGTATAGTTCATTGGGTTTTTAAGAGCCATTCACTCAACAAAAAAAGTTATCAATTCATTAAATCTCTTACACTTTTTTCGCTAAACTTTCTAAAATTAATTAATTATTTTGTCGACCGTTGGATAGAGAGGTAAATACTTTCTCAAAACAAGTGATGAGTTCCTCAAAACTCGGGGCGAGAAACAGATCCTTTGATCTTATCTTTGAAATATATTTACGAATAATTAACGGTTCACTCATTTGCAGCTTAAATATCAATTTATTTCTTCTATACATTATATACTTTTAAATGGTTGCGGGAATAATGAGAGCCTCTCTAACCTTACTTTTATAAATTTATAACACGTTTTTAAGGTTTGTGTGCAATACACATTTTCCCCAAAGTTTCTTAGAAATTTCTTACATTATTTATAATGTGTTTCAGCAGTTTTTGAGACATTGACAAACTTATAAGAAACTTTCAATTTCTATTATTATTTATATCTTTTCTAATATTTACTCAATTGACATATTTTTAATAAACTGAAAACTATTTTCAATGAATTTCTATTTATATTAAATATTGCATTAATTTATTATTTTCTAAAAATATTTGCCTTTATTTTTATATTTTGAAAACAATGTAATTGAACTTAAATTTTTATATAATAATATTGAGCTGCTTTTACCATAACCAAAGTTTATACTATATTTTTATAGTGATATTTAGCACAAATAGTTAAAAACTTTCTGAATTGTTAATTCAATTGACAATTTGTACGACAATCACATTATATGAGATTAATATTCAGGAAATAATTAATCACTGATTAAACTGATTAAAACTCATTAAACGAACATTTTATAAAACTCTTGTGTGAACTCAAACTTTCAAACACTTTTCCTCACATTTATTTAACTTGTATTCAATGTCTAACAATGATTTCATTTAAATTATTTGGGTAAAAACAGGTAGCATTATATTTAATTATTAATTAAAACATAACTATAACAACACTAATCTAAGTATCAACACTAATACAATATTACATTATATGATTAAATTTAAGAATATAATTTAAATGATTTAATATGTCTTACTATTTATTTTTGAAAACAATTATTCAAATACACAAAAAAAACTTAAATTACTATTTATTACAAACGTTAAAAACATAAATGTAATTTACATTTAACTGTGAACTAACTCTAAGTACTGTTTGTCGAGTATATCGAGCATTGTTTGGTTATTCGCGTGTAGTTTTCGGTGCAGATAATTGTCGGTCACTTTTTGGAGATCCGCTTCCGTGTACTTGAGCTCAAGTCTGTGCTGAAGAACTTTGAGGAACTCGTACTGGTGTTCGCGGGTGGGCTCGATGTTAGTGCCCTCACCGTAATCGTTCCAAGTGGCCACTTGGATGTAGTTGAGCCCAAACGCGCGAGCTAGGTCAAATGTGGCCTCAAACGTGTCCGGACTGACCGGTATGGTCCACGTGGGTCCGGGCCATCCGCCCAGAGTGTAGGCCGAGTCGAAGCCCGGGTACGCGCACCCGAACTTCAACGAAGCCTGATGTCGGTAGTGATAGAAATTTCGGAGTCCCTCCAAATAGTTGCTGTATATCCACGCGAACTCTCCCTTCGCAGTCTTACCACCTTGGTCCATTTGGTTCCACAGGGTCAGGAATGTGGGCGCTTTGGGCACCACTGAATACACCTGATCCCACTCACCCGCGTTCAGGGTTTGCGGCCCGAAGTCCAGTATAAGCGGAGCGCCGTTTAGTTGAATGTAATTCTTGTTGACAAAGTGTTTGTCGCGGAGGTAAGCCATGTCCGCCTGACCCTGTTGTACGATCGTTACGTTCAGTAGGTGTGCGTCTCTGGCCATTCCCAGGTTGTGGTCCTCGTAGACGATGGCGTACTCCAGACCCACGCGTTCGCAGCCCTTGATAATGGCTTCGCAATTGGCGGCATTCCCGGGGTAGTCCCACACTTTGGCAGTGCCCGGCCAGTCGATCAACACACCCGTCACGCCCGACAACTTCATGAGACCCAACTGCCAGTCAATGACGTGCGGATCGCCCGAAGCGTACAAATCGATGAGTGGGTATGTCTTCGAAGCGATCTGTCTTTTGCCGGACGCGTCCTTAATCTCGGGATTCATATTCTTCATCGTCCAGTGTTGACCCCATTTGCCTTTGTCTGGATTCGTCTCTTTTGTCTCAAACCACGGCATCAAATGGATGTATACTTTGACTGACACGTCGTTATGCGGTCGGAAACAATTGGGTGAACCGCCGCCCGGACCCCAACAAAAGCCAGAGCTGACACACTTGGCCTGATCCACGTCTATCTCTTCGCGTACGTTAACCGGCAGATCACAGCCCTTATGGATGGGAGGGTTAGGACTGCTCTCAACCCATACCGCAAACGCCAACAGCACAAGCGTTGAGATCTTGAAAATCATTTTTGCCTACTTTTTTGGCCAATTCTTTGGTTTTACTTATATTTGACTTCAATTTATATACCAATGTTTGTCTTATCAGAAAATAAAGAGCACTTACGATATTTCACATCCAATTGTTTTATTTGTTACTCAAATATCGTTTACTTAATTTGTTTTTCACTTTTGCTATCAAAACAGAATTGCTATAACTTTTAACCTTTTTTCGTATCACTGATTTATATACCTGTACTATATACATAACGTGTATATAACATAATACAGTAGTAATGTTATAATAATAAATTTACTATACGTTATAAAAGTATTATAATTGCAATATTTAATCAATAATAAACACTTAAAGAAACAGTTGTACTAAAAATCTCTCAATTTGAAATTAGAAAAATTGAAGTTTTTGTGGAAATAACATATATTTGTACATGTTCATTTTATTAAAATAAAACAAATGATTCTTCTTTATTTTATTTTAAAAATATTGGTTAATCTTGTTTTATTAATTAAGAAAATATTATCAAGTAATAAATTAAGTTTAAAACAATTAAATGAGAATCAAGTGTATATATTGATATGCAATGGGAAGTGATATAATTTTGTACTGTACCTAAATGGTCACCTTTATAAAATTTACATAAATTATTTATACATTTGTATAATTATACAAATAGCATAATATAAATTCATTTATAAATAAACACTGTAACCTTGGTATAAAATTTAATCCTCAGTTTTGTTGTATCTCAAGATGTGATTACAATAAGATTTAAGGAAACAGAAGCTATTGATATGTGTTGTGAAAGAAATGTAATCAAAATAAGTGCCGCGAAGTGTTTTGCTCTAGTATAATTGTAACCGGGTTTAGTTAAATGTACTCAAAAGTTAAGAACTTGGTTTAATTCATGTTTAACTAAATCTTAAAACAAATGATTAAAAATCAGTTTATTATAGATAATAATAATTTTTAAGTTGAGTTTAAGTACATTACTTAAACAAATACATTGGTATTTATAAAAAAAAGCACGTTGATTTCATTAACAAATTGATTATAAATAATTAAAAACCTTATATTTAATGGCAAAGAGCTATACAATTTGAGGGCATAATTGAAAATAATTTTATCACATATTGTTTGGAGAGATAATAAAGTTATGTTGTTTTAAAATGTCAAATGTATCAAGTTTTAGCTTTTTATAAATACATTTTATTTAAAAACAATTAAAAGTATAAATGTAAAAATAATATATTTTTAAAACTTACGCTAGTTGATAATATTTTATTTAAGATACAATATTAACTTATACAGTACAGTGTTATCAACCAAATGAATTAGGGGTATTTGGTTAATAACATAGAGGTGTTAACAAAGAAATGCTACAAATTTTGAACTAAATTTGTTGATATGATAGAGTAGTTGACAACATAAAGGTTATTTTAAGTTAAAAATTTTAACATTAAGTCTATGCAGTGTGGGTTTTGGTTGATAAAATAAAGAAGTTGACAGCATAGATGATTGACAGGACAGATGTTTGACTGTATTAACAGAAATAAAAACTTTTCCAAACATTAAGAGTCGGCTTTCACTGAACTAGACTGCACTGTATAACATTTACAGCAAAAACAAATCAATTAGTACTTTAATTAATTATGACATTTCATATTTAATAAAATATTATATTATCTTTAAACATTTTTCTGTAGATTATTGTAATAAAATAATTCAACACTAATTATTTTGAATGTTGACTTATAAAACATGAATAATATAAAAAACTAATAACAATTACAAACATAATTTCCTATTATTTAAAACCCAACCAAAGAGTTTATATAGAGTTTGAATAGTTTGTATATTTAATGCAAAAGAGATATAATAATTAATGATTAATGATTGCCAAATCAGACGGAAGACTATGTTATGCATACATACCGGCGAGATATGTGTTTTTATTTCTCGCTTCTTGCGGTCTATTCCTTGTCTATGCGTTCAAAGGATTTCTAGGAGTGGCGATCGTAGCGATGGTCAGACATAAAAACACTTCCACAGCCATTGATAACGAGTGTCCCGCAGAAGATAATTACCAAAATAGTGGCCATAATTCGGGCGAATTTAATTGGGATGACAAACAACAGGCCCTACTTCTGGGCTCATTTTTCTACGGATATGTGATAACACAAATACCGGCCGGAATTGCTGTCGAAAGGTTTGGCGCCAAATGGATGTTTGGATTTAGTTTATTAATATCGGGAATACTCTCACTGTTGGGCCCGATGTGCGCGCGTTGGGGTCAGGACTCTATCGTCCCGTTTTTTATTACACGTTTGGGTCAGGGATTAGCGCAGGGAGTGATCCTTCCCTCTATGAACTCAATGATTGCCCAATGGATGCCTAAAATGGAGAGAAGTCGAGCCATGTCTATCATATTTGCCGGCTCTTCGCTCGGATCCGTTGTCTCTCTACCACTGACTGGATATTTATGCGACGAACCCTTTTTGGACGGTTGGCCAACAATTTTCTATGTGTTGGGTATTAGTGCCTGCATTTGGTTTATATTTTGGTCAGTCTTTGTATTTGATTCGCCAGACAGTCATCCCTTTATATCGCAATATGAATACGACTTAATAAGCGAAGGACAGGGAGAAGAGAAACTGAGTTCAGTAAGGATTTCGCTCTTTTAACATTATTTTAAAATTAGTTTTATATTAAATGAATAATAAAATAGAAAAGAAAGATTCCGTGGAAACCAATGTTGACTTCATATCGAGTCTATGCGTCGACTGTAACACACTTTGGCTTCAATTGGGGTTATCTCACACTCTTAACACTATTGCCCACATATTTCACTAATATTCTTCATATGAATATTAAGACTGTATATAATTTTGGTTTAAATTGTTTGGTATATTCTTAATTAATTTTCTGTCAATTCCTAGAATGGATTGATATCTAGTTTGCCATATATTGCCAATTCTGTGGTCTCATGTCTGGCCTCTTATATTACTGATAAACTACGTGCGAGAGGTGTGAACATAACATTATTGAGAAAAGTAAACAATTCAGTCGGTAATGATTTCTAGTAATTTACTTAAATAATTAAATCGTTTAAGCTTAAAAATTTGATTTTTATTTTTATTGCCAGCATTTTTTGGGACAGGAATCTGTTTGATAGGAGTTGTACTCTCAAAATGTGATAAAACATTAAGCATTGTATTCTTTGTGATTGGTTTGGGACTAAACGGAAGCTGTTATTCGGGATTTTTGGCCAATTATGTGGATATGGCTCCAGATTTCGCTGGTATTTTGATGGGTGTTACCAATGCTGTCGGCAATGTTCCCGGTTTTATTGCCCCACAAACGGCTTCTTTAATATATTCAAATGGGGTATAAAATCATATCAATTAATATATATTCTGTTGCACTAATAATTACTGATGCTTATATTGTTAGAAATATTATAATTAACCAAATTTCAAATTTGTTATTATTCAGCAAACACTAAACAGTTGGTCGCATGTATTTTACACATGTTCTGCAATTTACTTCTTCACTGGTATTGTTTATATTCTGTTTTCTACATCAGAGTTACAGACCTGGGGTTTGGCTAAAAAGGACGACAAAGCAAATGATAATACAATTGAAAAATCATGAATTTTGATAACTAAATAAGTTTTATATTTGGTTAAAATTTACAAAAGTATATAACATTATAATTAATATATAATTAATCAAATACGACAATAAATATACTGTAAAATTATATTCTGTGTTATTATTGTAATAAATTAAAGTTTGTATTTAAATCTAATAAAATGAATAATACTGATAATATTACTTTATAATTACAGCCATATTACTTTGTGAGCCATAAATAAAATTTAGTGTAAATTACTTTTCATTATAACATTGAAAAAATTTAATATTAAATTATTTTTTATTTAAGTATCTGTTTTGCATTAAATGAATATTCATAAAATATTTCCACAAAATTACATTTAGATCATGACAAAAAATACTTTTGTTTAGAACAGACAATTTGATTAGACGTGTGGACAACATTTCTTTTCATTTAATTCACAGACTTCTGTTAACGAACCAATTGTTAGACATGAAAGTACTTCTCACTCGTCAGTAATTAATAACAATTTATCCATAATAGTGATAATCACTGATTAATCTCATAAATCTATAATTTATTTTAACAAAATTATTTTCCAGTTTTATTATATAGTATAAAATAGTATATTTATTCATTTTAAATATTTCTTGCACAATCACTAAATATTGACTTTATATTTTAAACATAAGGCATACAATAAAAATGACAATAAAACCATTTATTGTTTTATACTCAAAACCACATTTTCATATAAATAAAAAGTAATATACATCTAGCAGTCAATCCAATACAACAGTCAAATAAAATTTAAATATAAATATATCTAAAACTGATTTTTAAAATGCGAGGCAATAGAGAGGGAAAGTTATGTTTTTCGTTCATTCCGGCGCGTTATGTGTTTGTAGGGTTGACAGCATTGGGTCTATTCCTGGTCTACGCTTTCAAAGGATTCTTAAGCGTCGCTATCGTAGCGATGGCCACACGAAAGACCGGTTCCGGTTCAATGGGAATGGAGTGTCCGGGAGGTAACACTACTACAAACAATAACTTTAATACTCGGGGTGAATTTGATTGGGACGATCGCGCACAGGCCACTATATTGGGCGCATACTTCTACGGCTATATTGCATTACAATTACCGGCGGGAGTGTTGGCCGAACTGTTTGGCGCCAAATGGATTTTCGGGTCGGGAATGCTTATCACTTCACTGCTCTCGATGTTGGGTCCGGTGACCGCCCGCTGGGGTTTCGCACCATTTCTGGCCACTCGTGTGTTACAGGGTTTGGCACAGGGAGTGACCATTCCCTGTATGAACGCAATGGTCGCCCGTTGGATGCCTATAATGGAGAGGAGTCGAGGAATATCAGTGATATTTGCCGGCTCTGCCATCGGATCGGTTGTCACTTTGCCATTGACTGGCTATTTGTGCGACGAGACATTTCTGGGCGGTTGGCCCGCAATCTTCTACGTGTTGGGAACCGTTGGCATCATTTGGTGTGTTTTGTGGACTATCTTTGTGTTTGATTCGCCGGATAGCCATCCCTTTATAACACAACGCGAATACGACTACATATGCAAAGGACAGGGCAGTGAAAAGACTTCTGCTGTATATATCAGTACATTATTTCCTATCTCTGTGTTTATTATTAATTAATTAATTATTAATATTATATTTATACCTAAGAAAAGACGGATTCCGTGGAAATCAATTCTCACATCATATCGAGTCTATGCTATGATAATCACTACCATTGGTCAGGGATGGGGAGGACTAACTATATTGACTCTATTGCCTACTTATTTGACCAAAATTCTTCACATGGATATCAAAACAGTAAAAATGAACTTAATTTTTGGGACATTTCTAATCCTTATATCGTTTACATCTCATCATTAGAATGGTTTGACATCAAGTCTTCCTTTTTTGAGTCAAGCAATCGTCTCAATCATATCCTCGTATATAAGCGATAAGATAAGAGAGAAGAAAATCTTAAATGTTTCAAATTTACGCAAAATCAACAATTCAATCGGTATTTTGCAAACATAATATGAATATACTGTATATATGTTATTATATTCTTATTATGTAATACTAATCATGATTATTATTTTAATTGGCAACAGCATTCTTTGGACCCTCTATATGTCTAATAGGAGTAATATTTGCTGAATGCAACACAACATTAACTATTGTCTTTTTTGTGATGGCAATGGGATTTAATGGCTTTAATTATCCTGGTTATAATTCAAACTTTATAGATATGGCGCCCGATTTCTCGGGCATTTTACAGGGAATTTGCAACTCTATCGGCAATATTCCCGGTTTTGTGGGCCCAATAGTTGCCGCGGAGTTCTACTCCAAAGGGGTATTTGGTTTCATTAAATATATGTTTATAAATAATTAACATTTATTGTGACAAATTGTAGCAAACACTGGAAAACTGGTCGTATGTTTTCTATACATGTGTTGCAGTGTATGTATTCACACAATTGGTTCACATATTATTCTCGACATCAGAATTACAGGAGTGGGGAATCAGTAAACCTGTGGACAACTCATCCCAGCCTACAATACATGACAAATCACTAGACATTAAATAATTTATATTTTTGTTTAAATGTATATATAACATTTATTTTTAATTAAAATTTACTTATCATTCAATCACTGAAATTAATTGACATTACATTTAAGTCTTTAAATAAATTTTATTGTTGTAATAAAACTTTACAAATTTTATAAAAAATATTTCTGGATTGTAAATATAATCTAATCTTCATTATCTTTATTAACATTATAGTTAAACTGGTATTTCCTATAATTGCCTAAACACGGCTGTCCTTTGCAGAGTCTAACCGTTTTTGTGGTTAAATTATAGACAATGTTAGCGACGGTACACTCTTTGGGTGACGTCGAGGTGTACTCTTTGCCTTTGTCTGGAATATGAAGACATAGAGATTCAGGAAATCCCAAATGGTTTTTAAATGAATCGATAAACGAGTGGTCGTCAATGTTTGGCCATCTGTTCATGAGTTCCCTCTCGAGCTGTCGATCCCTGAAGTGTGTGGAACCGATTTTAAAGGAGTCTTTTACAGACTGGTTGTCCATAAATGCACTCGACTTAAAGTGATTGCTATGCGTATAGACGTCCGTCTCTAACGGCGGGTATGATATAAAACAGTTATGTGGCGTCAGCTCTATATTGATGGCCTCGCCTTCGGCGGTGGCGACCATCATATTACACGACACATGTCTGGGCAGTGATGTCATGCGTTTGAGTGCCACCGCAAAAGTAGGCGCCTCTATGAAAATCCGTCTCAATAAAGTGATGGGTATGTATTGTCCAGTTTTGTCGCTCTCATCGAAGTGGTCTTGGGATGAGAACAAACCCATTGCTATAATGCCTGCAAAAATTAAGCCAAACTTAATGAATGTACTGTACTATTATGTAGAGGACGTGCACCGCATATTAACAATACCTAATCCGTTGGCATTCATACCACTTCTGCCCAACTGTCCCGCTTCGGTGAGCATAAAATATGGTGCAATATTTTCTTCGGGATCGGGATGTACTTCCAACAGCACAATGATATCGTTGTCCATTAGTCTGCTATGAATGTCCCAGTTTTGTCCTATAAGAATATCACCCGATTTGGTGGCCTTTGACAGACACACAGCTCCGGTACACTCTTGTGGCCATTTGCTGTTCGTCCGGCGCAAGAGTCGGCTCCAAATCAACATCTCATACCTGGCGTTCAACAGTACGATCTCTTCGAGGGAAACGTTGGCTCCGATTGCGATGCCTTTCATTTCGTTCAGACCCAACGGGTAATGCTTTTCCAACGCTTTCATGTAGTGATTGTTGATATAATCGCAGACTTGAGGCCAATCCGGCAAAACACCAGAAGTTTTATAATAATTAATGTTTGAAACGATTTTCTCTTTGGTTTGCTGTCCATAACTGTGGCCTCTTGTGAACGGATTGCCTCTAACTATGATGTGATCATAACTTTCCTTAACATTTGCCGTCATTTTATTTGCACAGATTTTCCTCAATTTATTTCGTTATTATATTTTCAATTATAAATTACACACAAAATGTATGCTTTGATAAGTTGGGCAATAGATTGTGTAATAAAATTTATATTTTATATCACATATAAACTAATCATTTAATACACTGTATTTACATGAAACATATTTTATAAATGTTATTCATTAATATTTTATAAAATGTTTATTAAGGCATAAATTCTCAAACGACTAAATGTTTGCCAAATATTTTATTACATATATTACAAAAATTTATAGCACTAAACAATCAAATTGAAGTAAAATAACAACATAATCATATTAACTAGATTAAATAGTATTTTTGATTAAATAAATTGACTGTAGTAATATAATCGTATATAGTAAACTATTAAAGGTTATATCATTACTACAATATTGTGATCAAATCAAATTTACAAAAACATTTTTACATATTCCTTAGATTAAAATTATAATTTTAAATAATATATAAAAATAATATTAATAAATATGATAACTGTGTTACAAAAGTGCATTAATTGGTATATTTAAACACTAAATACAAGGTCTTTGTGGAGATACAGACATTCAACAAATTATAAAAATGGAATATAATCACTGATCATTGAATAATAAGCAATATTACATTATAAACGATTATTATACAGTATAATGATATGAATTGAACCAAGTCATTTAAGGTTTAACTTTTATGTTATTCTCCATGGAGAGTAAAAGATACCTATTACTCAAAAAGTACTTGAGTACTTTTATAATTAATTTATAATAATTATTGTATATGCCAAATTGTTAAGGATTAAGTATGACTTAACACATAATTGTCATGTATGTCAGGATTTTTGTTATAAATGAGTTAAATATCAGTATTTTACTATAAAGTGATCATATTTACTAGTTTTCAATATATTTGTCATTTAAAATCTACTTGTTCAATTTTAACCAACAGTATATATGTATGTCAGGATTTTTGTTATAAATGAGTTAAATATCAGTATTTTACTATAAAGTGATCATATTTACTAGTTTTCAATATATTTGTCATTTAAAATCTACTTGTTCAATTTTAACCAACAGTATATTAAGTTATTCATAATTAAATACAGATAAATACAAATAAAGATTAGATTTTAATTGTGAATTGTCATTACTAGGTTGTCATTGCTATATTGTTTTGTACCGATTTATATGTATTTTATAAATATCAAGAAATCACAAAATGTATATTTTTCTCAATTAAATTATGAACAATTCTCTTGCCTTTAATTCATTATTTAGTATATATTTATTAATTAATTTACTGTTAGTTATTATCAGTCCATTAATTATTATCTAACATTTAATATGTATTATACGTATATATAGTGTACTATTGAATGATTGTGCGAAAGACAACTCAATTCTTAAACTTATGCAATGATTACAGAATTGATAACAGAATTTGCATTTAGACTCAAAAATGGGTTAAAAATTAAATATAACTTTAATTTAAAATAAAACTAAACAAAAAAGTAATAGTTTTTCAATAATAAGAGTAAAGCACTGAATGAGTGAATGAATGACAGAATCAATGAATGCATTGAAACACACATTGAATACAAACTGTAAGACAAACACTATTTCACGCATTAATTCATTGAAAACATTGAATGCATTCAACGATTGCATACTTCTTAAGACAATGAATCCAATGGACAATAGTTGGCCACAAGAAGTGCCGTCGACTCCGCCACTCATCCATACATGCAATCCATTCGACGAATCAATTGTTCCGTCCATTGAGTGGTCGCAAGAGTCGTCTGAGGGGTCGACTCAAGCCGTGTCGCCGATTGTCTCCCAAAGTGACCACAAATTGGGTTCAAATGACGACCAAATTGTGCCACAAATTCAAACGCAGAGCTCTTCCGACGGCGAAGAAGGAGACGAAGAGACGGATGAATCGGTTGTCGACAGTATATTGAGTCCAATAATCGATGGCAACGACGAAGAAGAAGAGGAGTCGATGCGGTCGTCGGTGTCGTCGCCATCGGTGGCCACGAATTGGCCGAAACTGAACACTCAATTGAATGAAGTGTTGGCCGAAAATGGCCTCAATTTGCGGATTAATGTCAAACGAAGACTCATTTGTCACGCTTTCGACGACTGCACCAAAAGAGTGAAACGAAAGGTTTGCATCTTTTACGAGGAGTCGACCCAAACCAGTGATCACCACAACGTCCACAACGACCACATCCAAGAGATCCACTTCTTCCACATCGACGCTACACCTCATCGCTCGTCATCTCTTCGGTCGGCAATCAATTAATTGTTTTTTTTGTTTAATTTAAGTTTTTTTCTGTTTTTTCAATTGATTTTTTGTTGTAATTATTGTTTTGAACGACGAGTTTATGGGAAATGGGATTCACTTCAAGACAACTCATATAAGAGTATCATTTAATTGAAACCAAACAGGGATTTAAGCCTTAATGGATCCGCTGGTTCTTCAGACTGACCCGGGATCTAATGTTCATAAATAACATGCAAACCATTGCCCCCCATATAACGAGTTATTCAAATATAACGTTACGTCACGTGTTTTTGTTGTATTTGTAAACAAAAATGATTTGTTTTTCAATAAAGTTTTTCATTAATTTTAATAGTGTTTTGTATTATTAATGATGGCATCAATCGGTGTGTTATTGAGCCGAAGATCGACACGAATTATCTCACAGATGGTGTCCAGACATGTGAACACTTGTTGCCGACAGAACTCGAGGTCTAAACAGATGTTTACGCAAACGATGGCCAAAAAGTTTTGTCTCAACAAAACTCGTGAGTCGATTGTGTTTAACCAGAAATGTCTGATCCATTTGTCACCGAAACGGCACAACCCGTTGGTGGCCATTGTCTTACGACAGGCGGCGAAGTTTGTGGCCGTTCTCACCGGGAGGTCAGATGAAAGTGAGCGCTCAATACAAGTGCTGATTGTTTTATCATTTCTAGGGTTGTGAGGAAGTGGTGGCGAGAATTGCCACCAAATAAGAGACAATTAGTGATCCAATGGTTCGCTCGACACAAATGGAAATTCGGTTTACTCTTGTTGTCATCGGTTCTGGCGTTCGTCGCCTACTATACCAGTCATTTGGTGGACACTCCCATCACTGGCCGCAAGCGGTTCATCGCTTTCACACCGAAACAACTCAAAGAAATCAATGATTACGAGTTTGAGGTCCAGTTGGAGACCTATAAACACAAGTTATTGCCGTCGAGTCACGAGATGTCCAAACGGGTGGCCCGAGTGGCCACTCAACTGCTCAACGCTAACAACGATTTGCCACAAATTCACGACAACGAGTGGTCCATCTCTGTTGTGGACGATCTCAACATTAAGAACGCGTTTGTGATGCCTTCGGGACAGATATTTGTGTTCTCAGGAATGCTCGCCATTTGCGACAACGACCAGCAGTTGGGGGTTGTGTTGGCCCACGAAATGGCTCACTGTGTCCAATGTTTACATCATTTACTCTACAATAACTGAGCTTCAAAATGATATGTTTTTTGTTACAGTTTTTGCATTAAATAATACAGTATTTTCTATCAAAGTTGGTTCAGTTTATATGTTCCGCTATGTTATTTATTAATTAATTTACTGTTAGTTATTATCAGTCCATTAATTATTATCTAACATTTAATATGTATTATACGTATATATAGTGTACTATTGAATGGTTGTGCAAAAAACAATTCATTTCTTAAACTTATGCAATGATTACAGAATTGATAACAGAATTTGCATTTAGACTCAAAAATTGGTTTAAAAAATTAAATATAATTTAAATTTCAAATAAAACTAAACGAAAAAAGTAATAGTTTTTCAATAATAATAGTAAAGCACTGAATGAGTGAATGAATGACAGAATCAATGCATTGAAACACACATTGAATACAAACTGTAAGACAAACACTATTTTACGCATTAATGCATTCAACGATTGCCTACGCATTGAGACAATGAATCCAATGGACAACAGTTGGCCACAAGAAGTGCCGTCGACTCCGCCACTCATCCATACATGCAATCCATTCGACGAATCAATTGTTCCGTCCATTGAGTGGTCGCAGGAGTCGTCTGAGCGGTCGACTCAAGCCGTGTCGCCGATTGTCTCCCAAAGTGACCGCAAATTGGGTTCAAATGACGACCAAATTGTGCCACAAATTCAAACGCAGAGCTCTTCCGACGGCGAAGAAGGAGACGAAGCGACCGATGAATCGGTTGTCGACAGTATATTGAGTCCAATAATCGATGGCAACGACGAAGAAGCAGAAGAAGAGGAGTCGATGAGTCGGTCGGTGTTGTCGTCGCCATCGGTGGCCACGAATTGGCCGAAACTGAACACTGAATTGAATGAAGTGTTGGCCGAAAATGGCCTCAATTTGCGGATTAATGTCAAACGAAGACTCATTTGTCACGCTTTCGACGACTGCACCAAAAGAGTCAAACGAAAGGTTTGCATCTTTTACGAGGAATCGACGCAAACCAGTGATAATCACATCCAAGACATTCACTTCTTTCACATCGACGCTACACCTCATCGCTCGTCATCTCTTCGGTCGGCAATCAATTAATTGTTTTTTAAGTTTAATTTAAGTTTTTTTCTGTTTTTTTTCAATTGATTTTTTGTTAATTATTGTTTTGAATGACGAGTTTATGGGATTCACTTCAAGACAACTCATATAAGAGTATCATTTAATTGAAACCAAACGGGGATTTAAGCCTTAATGGATCCACGGGTTCTTCAGACTTACCCGGGATCTAATGTTCATAAATAACATGCAAACCATTGCCCCCCATATAACGAGTTATTCAAATATAGCGTTACGTCACGTGTTTTTGTTGTATTTGTAAACAAAAAATGATTTGTTTTTCAATAAAGTTTTTCATTGATTTTAAATAGTGTTTTGTGTTATTAATGATGGCATCAATCGGTGTGCTATTGAGCCGAAGATCGACACGAATTATCTCACAACTCGTGTCCAGACATGTGAACACTTGTTGCCGACAGAACTCGAGGTCTAAACAGATGTTTACGCAAACGATGGCCAAAAAGTTTTGTCTCAACAAAACTCGAGAGTCGATTGTGTTTAACCAGAAATGTCTGATCCATTTGTCACCGAAACGGCACAACCCGTTGGTGGCCATTGTCTTACGACAGGCGGCGAAGTTTGTGGCCGTTCTCACCGGAAGGTCAGATGAAAATGAGCGCTCAATACAAGTGCTGATTGTTTTATCATTTCTAGGGTTGTGAGGAAGTGGTGGCGAGAATTGCCACCAAATAAGAGACAATTAGTGATCCAATGGTTCGCTCGACACAAATGGAAATTCTGTTTACTCTTGTTGTCATCGGTTCTGGCGTTCGTCGCCTACTATACCACTCATTTGGTGGACACTCCCATCACTGGCCGCAAGCGGTTCATCGCTTTCACACCAAAACAACTCAAAGAAATCAATGATTACGAGTTTGAGGTCCAGTTGGAGACCCATAAAAACAAGTTATTGCCGTCGAGTCACGAGATGTCCAAACGGGTGGCCCGAGTGGCCACTCAACTGCTCAACGCGAACAACGATTTGCCGCAAATTCACGACAACGAGTGGTCCATCTCTGTTGTGGACGACCTCAACATTAAGAACGCGTTTGTGATGCCTTCGGGACAGATATTTGTGTTCTCAGGAATGCTCGCCATTTGCGACAACGACCAGCAGTTGGGGGTTGTGTTGGCCCACGAAATGGCTCACTGTGTCCTCTTCCACGGCGCTGAACTCGTAAGCGATTGTATATACATAACCAATGTCTGTGACACTAACCCTGTTGTGTCCAACAGATAAGTCACGCACATCTCATCGATTTGTTCTTCATTTGTATAATTGGTATAATTTGGGCAATACTTCCGACCGATTGGACGGCCGCTATAACGACGGGTGTCTCCCGTTTCATAATGAATATACTGCTGGACACGCCTTACAGCCGAATGCTTGAGACCGAAGCCGATATCGTGGGCCTGGAGTTGGCGGCGAAGGCGTGCTTTGATGTGCGCGAGACGAGTGCCTTCTGGCATAAGATGGCTATCATTGAGAGCACTGAAGGCATTCAATTCGCTTCCGATGACATCAAAATACCGGTTAAAACTGAATTCTTATCAACACATCCGAGCCATGAGAAGAGGTATCACTATTTGGATGAAATCATGGACGACGCCATCAAAATGAGGGACAAATGCAATTGTCCTCAACTCCCGAGACATGACCCGAGACTCAACGTTGAGTTACTCAAGAAAAGCATTGAAGACTATCACAAGAATAAGAGGAAAGAAGGGGTTCTTATTCTACCCAAACCTCCCGTTCCTCCCAGTCTTCAACCAAAAACTTAACTATCGGTCAATAAATTACACATTTATTATGTTTTAGAAGTTTTATTAGAAATCTGTATAAATTGAGATCAATTCTGATATTTATTGAGAATTACTCTAATTTATTGAAAGTATTTTTAAGTTTAAAATCTTATCAAATACTGAATTATTATGAATTTGTTGAACTAATTATCAAATATTATTGAAAATATTTTATGGTTTATTATTAAATTAGAATGTGATTGTTGTTTACTGAATGAAAATAGTGTTGATTAATTATGATTGTGCCACAAATGGTCATATAATCATCTACTGTATATCAAGAGGGGGTTCTAACTCTCATCGCCGCTGGATTTTCACCGGACACTTGTGTGCAATAGTGTTTCAACCACTCCGCCAACATATCCAATTCTACCAAAGGTCAGTCATTCGCTCTCTCTCTCTCTCTCTCTCTCTCTCTCTCTCTCTCTCT